TTCATCGCGCGCGCTGTGCGATCTTCTGCGTGTGAAGATGACGACTCTGTCGCGTCGTCACGTATCGTATGCGTATCATATCTACAGTAAAATTCACGAGGAGAAATCGGTTTATTCTATCAGCTGCGTTGGCGTTGGGTGTGGGTGCTACACTTGTGCCCGAATGGTTTTCGTTTGTGTTTACGTATAGAGGCAACAATAAGGCGAAGAAAGGTTTGATCGATGCGGTGGAGCTTGTGATGGCGACTGGATTTGTGATTGCGGGTTTTATTGCCTTGATATTGAATTTAGCTCTGAAGGAGGAAGAAGATGAGGTGGATGAAAAAATAATTGAGCTGCCCAGAAGTACTAGTAGGAGTCGAAGAGGGAAAGAGGTGGAGGCGGAAGGGGGAAAAAAGGTGGAAAGTTCTAATCACATCTCCCATAAGTTGAAAGATGTGGAAGAGGGTCCGGTGGCCAAGAACGATTGATCCGATATCATAGACTCAGATGTATCTGATGGTGCAGTTAGACGCTCATTATGCGCGCGGTAACGGTACACTAACCCACGTGGTGTGGCCAGTGCGCAGTCGTGGCTGCCTTACCAGGCGCCGTGTTCATGATCGGAGATAAACTGCTCTTTCTCCACCCCTGGGTCCGATTTTTGACCATCGTATCTCAGAATACAGCTGGCTTTAACATCGGTTGGCATTTTGTATAGTTGCCTTCTCCAACTCAATGTGAAAAGCAAAACCTATTCTATGATCCTCTCCGATTCCAGCGGCTTCATCGCGGGAATGCCATGCACCAACTGTCAAGTGATGGTAGCATGTTGAGGTTTTCAATCTTAGCCATCTAATGCATCCGCATCAAACTGCTCTCCACGTATTTCCTACTCCACAGCCGCGAGTCCCCCGCCAATGCCTGAACGATGTTTATTGGATCATATTATTTTTGCCAATAATTGTAATAAAAACTTTGATCCTCGGTGTTGTTCAAACAATTTCCTTGAGCAGGTAAATGTCTCCCATTTCAGCTACAATAATCGACATGGAATGCATGCAAGCTGAACTGACCTCAGTAACATATGGCTTGCATGTTAAATGGATGTAACTGACCATGTCAGGGCAAACCCTGCGTAGTCGCAAGCTAGCAACGCCGCAAGACTCAGCGCGAATGAGAAGCCGGCTGGGGAGTGAACTCGAAGACGGTAGTGGGGCTGAAGGCGAAGTTGTGCATGAACCATTGCATAAGAACCAGCGGGAACGATCGAGTCATCTGAGAAAACGACATCTGATCCATTCCGTACTCCGTATAGTCTCACACATCACATTGGGATGCCAGATGAATACGCTGTACGTTGACTTTAAGGAAAAAAGCAACAAGTAGCCTCAACCGTGGAAGGTTTGGCGCCAAGACTGCGTTAAGGTTCCGGATCCCGTACGCTTAATTGTTAAATCTGGGGCAGCCAATCAGAGAAGAAGGGACAGCAAAGCGGGATGAGTCAGCAGGCTGTTGCGGATTTTGTTGAGGAGGGCACTAAACCTATTTAGGATAATTAATTTGCACCGAGGCTAAAAAAAAAATGGGGGGTTGAGTTGGAGTTTTTGGGGCTCTAGAGATTTTACTCTGCTTTGCTGAGGTTATGGGCCAATGGGTTGGAAAATGGGAAAGGAATTGAGTCATACGATGGGGAAGTTCCATGCGCTTTTTGACGCAGTAGTTTTTATTCCATTTTGGGTTCTCCGACAAAAGAGGATATGACAATTGTTGGGGTCATATTTTTAACCTTTGACTTTGGATCGGGATGTGGGTGGGACAGATGGGGCCCCCTCTGGTACTGATACAAACGGTGACTAAGCATCTTTGTACCCCCTAATGGAAGGAACATGTACGTTTGAAGAACCCTCTGAAGCCAGCCTGTCTCAACACAGCCGCTGAATCATGCATGAAAAACGAGATGGATGATTTGTCTCGGTTTGTGTTATGAGTACATCCCTTTGTGTTTATGAGAGCTGAATTACTCTGGGTGTGGACAGTGGACCATCAATGTGTGTTTGTATTGCTTTCCATGTTGAGATATACATAGTGCGTATGGATTGGTAATGTACTCAGCTACTTGCATCGTACACGCTGCCCACTCCCCAACAAATCACAGAAGCTTATTTTGTGGCGGAAACTAGCATTCCACTTTCCCACGGTCTGTTCACGTCAGGGTATTGTTTTTCGACGCTATTACATGAATGCCCGGGAAGGACTATTATC